TTTTTTTTTTTTTTTTTTTTTTGCTAATCTGTTTCCTCAGAAGATGTATGGCTTAAATGTTGGAAGGGAAAAATTATGTGAACCGCCCACAGAACAATTCTAAACAGCAGATTTTTTGCCCTCAAATGACATAGTTAGTACAAATTGCGAAAGAAAAAAAATGTTCTTTTTTTTCTGGTCTTTCCTCTCCTTTTTTTTCTTGTTTTTATAGACGTTTCTTTTTTCTATCTTTTTATGATAGTATGTTTGTCGTTTTTTTTTACTTCCACTATACTTCTAATTGACAAGGGATAAAAAAAAGTGGGCAGTAGAAACAACGGCGTTGTCAGCAGAGGCAACAACAACAGCAGTTCATATTGTTGTTGTATTAATGATAGTATCAACCGGCGGCAACAACAGCAAAGAATAACAGCCAATAGCACTAAAAACAATAACAACAGATTGAGCTTTGTTCTTAATTTGATGTCTATGTTTACAAAACTATAAACAAGAAAAAAGTATTCCGTAACTTCAATTTTATTGCTATTGTTTTCTGTTGCTACTGCTGTTGATGCTGCCGTTACCATTTCCGCTGTTGGTACCAGTGTTGATGTTAATTTTTATAATGCTTCTGTAAAAGTTTTGTATCGTTAGCTGCTAAATTTTATTAGGGTTTTTTTTATACTTCTTTAGAAAACAAATTTTTTTACTCTTCGGATGTTGATCAACGTCAGAAAAGAAAAAATTAACAACAAAAATAAGAACAACAAAAATCTAAGACAAATTCAGTGTTATTGCTGTATTTAGAAGTATTTCATCGATATGCTAATGTCCTTCAAATGAAGCAGTATTCCAAAAATATCATTCTCAAAAATAATGTTGAGATTTTTAAATCGTTTCAACTTCCTTTGAAAAAAAATGTTCTTTTTTTTTTTATTATTATCAATTTTGCTGCTGTTGTTGTTTGTCACTGTTTTTGTTCCATCGTTAATGACTTTTCTGTTTCTACAGCTGCTGCTGCTACTGTTGCTGCTGATGATGACAATGACGATGTCGATGAATTTCTTATGTCATTACCAACTTCTTTGTTTTAATATTATCATTGGCAACCCATATCTCTACTTCATGTCCTTCACCCTTAATTAAGCAACTAAGCGAAAACGAAATAAAAGAGTATAGTAGGAAAACGAAATCAGCAATGAAGAAAGTGCGGTCACTTTTTTCTTCGGCTCTTTCAGGAAAAGTAACAAGTAAAGTTTAACTGAACCTTTTTTTATTCCTTTCTCCTCTGGATCATTACCAAATTTCCATAGGTTTTAACAAGCTTTTTTTCCATCCCCTACTACTGCCTAGATATGCATAGACATTATAGCAGGGCTGTGGTTAATAGTAAATCATTGCGAAAAAACAACAACAATAGCAGCAGCAACAGCAGCAGCAAAAAACCTCGATAAAAAAATTGTAATTAGTTGTTGTTGCCCTTTTTTTTTG